TTTCTAAACATGTTAATTACCGTTGACCTATCTAGTAGCGAATCATCTGACTACGATTTTGTTTTTGCAGTATCGAGGAACTGAAGCCGTGAAAACGTGTTGCAGGCCTGCGCAAATGCAGGAAGAAAAGTTTGTCGATCTGCCTGGTGTTGAATGGGAATAATCGTGATTCGATTCTGACCGGAAGCTTTTGGCCCTTTTGACTCTCCTTTTGAATAAACTACTTGTAACGATGTCTCAGGCCCAGACCGCGGAAAAGTCAGGATCGAAAAGTTCGGTAGGCTGATAAAACTCTAGTACAAGTCAATAGTAGTGAAATTGTGCGACATAGTTAGTGCCAAGGAAAAACGATTACCGTGCTATTGCACGTAATGCTAGAAATTTTAAAGAACGATTTTCAGTGCACATAGTTAAGCTTTTTAAAAAACGTGCCTTAGAAGTAATTCCAACCGGTGAACACTCGTGTTTATTTCAGTTACCATGGAGACGTAATTTTTCATTAGCCCCGGTCCCTTTCAAATTGTATCATTATTTATGAACGGCCTTATATTTGAAATGACGTTTCACATTCATCTAGTGATGTCCGATTTTCATTCGAATAATCGTTTAATCGATTAACGAACCGAAAAGTAAACTATTTATAATCGGTTAGATCATGCCGATATAAGCATTAACATCTCCACAGGATCATCACCGATCGTTTCAAACATGTGCTGCACTCTCATTGGTGGAAAAATGGCAGCACAGCGAACAAAAAATAATCGATTAGTTGTTAATCGAGTAATTAAAAAATGGGACATCTCTGATTTTGGTGTGATTGTTTTGATAAAAATGAGCGCAAAATTTCATCTCTTCCGAGGGGGCAGCAAAACCACAAAATTACCTTGAATACGGGGGGTTCTCATTGGATGAAAGGGACCTTGAAAGAAGACACTAAAATAGAAAGTTTTTCTTCCGACAGTTTCATCTTAGTATTCATCTTTGGTAATTCCGTACAGTATTGTACCTTGTGTGTACGGTTGCCAGAACTTCCTTCGAGTGAAGGTGCACCCCTAGGACGCCACGGGGTCCGTTCTAATCGTTAGCCACATAGAACGGGCGTCTTCGGCCGATGAGGCATACAACATAGCCAGTCCTAACCTCGCACTCTCATTGACGAGAATCATCAACGTGGTCCGGGTATCCCAACCGTCCGTCGCATCGCTTTATTCACCACCCGCGGTTTTGCATACTTTCCGCCAGGTGAAGACCCTAGCGTTGAGCTCACCATTCGCCATTCGAGTAACGCCCTGTTGCGGCTAGTCGCCGGCAGGTAGCCAAGTAGTCAAGTTCGAAGTATTACCAACAATCAATACGAAACTAACGATAAATTGGCTCACTACTGAGCTGTTCGTTTGTACACTGTACACAAACATCATCCTCTGATCGAATGAAACCTCAGTCCATTAAAAACAAAACACCGAAATCGCTGTTTCGAATGATACCTGCAACCGGATGACGGTTGTTTTGAAATCAGATGATTTTCCTCTAGAATACTGGATGAAAATTGTTATGAGAAGGGATAGGGCCTCAGTTGAAATGCGTAATGCTCTCTGCAGAATGACTGTCATACTAAATGGAAATGCATTTGGTATTAATTGGTTCAGCCCCATAACGCAAATCATTCAAAACGATGATGTAAATAATTCTATCGAATGTCATTTGCTTATCTGAGCTGACAAACGAGGTGGAAGCATATGCATCGCTATCAGAACTGTTACGAGCATAGGTAAAGGATGAAAACCAATGTTTGGCTAATTCGTGGTGGAGGAGGTTTCCTCCACCACGGAAAAATTTACTATCCTTAATGGAATGGCTTATTATGGTTATTCAGTATGGAAATGTAGATATTCAAATTATAAATCTAATTAAAAGCACTTGCATGTCAAACTATTCTTAAATGTTTCTCCTCGGAGTGTCGTATGTTCTATAGCTAATTTTCAAACGAAAATCATCCTGTATTTGGATGACAGTCATATGGATGTTCATCATCTGACGACGAATTCAACCATAAGAAAATCATCCGAAATTCAAATGCATATTGTTAAAGGGCTCGAGCAATGCAATAATCATTCGAAGTATTGCGGATGTTTTGGATCAGTGTAGTTTGACTTTCTTTAAAAACCAATTTGGCTCTAGAACAATTTTAAACTTGTTCTGCATTATTCACATGTTGCAATTATTGAAAAGAGCTCGATATAAGAAAGCCACAGAAAACAGACGTTGAGGCTCCAAAATTTCTCTAAAAACTTGTGTAAAGATTCCTATCGACTTCCCCACTTAAAAATCCTCTTTGATAACATGATGGCACTGGCGTTGCAAAACTTACACTAGACACTAAGTGCTGGTAGCGCCAAGTGGCAATTTTCAACAGATAATTTATTGATACTAGCGCCAAATCGTATTGGATGGGAGGCAACAATTGCCGAACCCCCAAACGGCCGAAACCAGCAGCGCAAAGCTTGTTTACGTGCTGTCATAGCGAAAGCACAACTTAGGCTCTGAACCATTTGGCGATTTTTTTTAACTTTTGGTTAAAATTTGACAGATGGAAAGTTATTGATTAACCCTGCTATCCGAGCATGGTTATTTCTGACAGACAAGAAGTTAAATTTTGACAACCGTGGCTCGAAAACCGGTCGATCGACAGCACGGGGATTTTCGAACATAGAAAATAACTTTCGAAATGTCACTTTTAACCACGAGTTAAATTTAACTCGGCAAATGGTTCACAGCCTTAGGCTGTGAACCATTTGCCGAGTTAAATTTAACTCGTGGTTAAAAGTGACATTTCGAAAGTTATTTCTTATGTTCGAAAATCCCTGTGCTACCGATCGATCGGTTTTCGAGCAGAACTCAGCCACGGTTGTCAAAATTTAACTTCTTGTCTGTCAGAAATAACCATGCTCGGATAGCAGGGTTAATCAATAACTTTCCATCTGTCAAATTTTAACCAAAAGTTAAAAAAATTCGCCAAATGGTTCAGAGCCTTAAAATGCGAGACGCTTTTCTATGCGATCGGTGCGTCTACTGCGATCGCCCATTTTGCTGTTTATCGTTTCTTCTCTTGAACTGTACACATGTGTTTAATAAATCAGTTTACTTTTATTATCAAACCAATTAATTCCGGTGTTATTATTTAACCTGCTAGCTCAGCCCAATAAATCGGTCGAAAGTGATAAAATAATAGAGGAAATCAGGAGATGCTAGCGCTACGTAACGGCAACGTTTCCACTTAACTTTACACAAGTTTCTGGTCTCTGTGAGATAGCTTAATACAATTGAATAGAAATGCCAAAATCTTACCGAGTAGTTTAGCTTTTCTGATTTCGGTACAGTTTGGTATAGTTTCTGAGTATGGATGCCCAGTTTGAAATAACTCATATTAGCACAAAGTAATAGTTTTATTGCTAGGGAACTTTCTTTTGGGATCGTCTTTTCTTCATACAATTCTCATTATTCATACTATACTAACCCTGATCAGTCTTAGAAAATGTTATATGTTTAAGCTCCGTTCTAGATTTGTTTGTTATTCATATCTTATACTTTGCAGCTCGCGAGAGGTTACCACATATGGGTTCTTTTTCTCATCCACAATAGTTTGGGGGGAGGGGGCGATCTGAGAGCTGAATAGAGGCAAATAAAATAGGGAACACAACACCATGACCCAAACGACTAACCAACGCATGCGGCTCACACTTAACTTGTTCTATTTCTTTCTTCCCCTCATGTACCAATATTACCTACCTGTGAACAAATGGATAAGAGTAAACAGTCAGAAAGGATTAGGCCATTTGGAAACAGCCAATTTATACTGAACGGAACTGGTAAGTAGGATAAGAATTGTAAAAGGTGTGTGCTTGCATGATTTACCTATTTTAGAATTACCTATAAGCCACATGAGAACCTCATTTCCTTCAATTACTACTCCATTACAGCACACACCTAGTAATGATCACTAACATTCATATAGTTTCAGCATTATCGACATTTATAATCAAAAGGTGAGTTGCAAAGTATAATTACCATGCATAGATATAAGTTAATGTACCAGAACCTGGACGGACATGAGCCTACCCAGGGGAGGACCCGGATACGACCACCCATGTGTGTCTAGAGTATCGCACGAGCTGACGAGTGCAACGGGAAGGACAGTAGCTGTATAGACTAGGGGGTTAGTCCCTAGATAAGCCAACTTAGCAGTTGGCACAGCCTATACACATAACAATTACAATTACAATTGAATATTAGGATCTAAAGCGTACTCGAGTGCAAAACGTACTGTTCAACTCCCTTATCTCTTTGAAATTATTTGAATCTAAACTCTCACCATAGAAAAATAAAAACCTATCAGTTCTTTCCGTGATAAATCTGCTAATTAACTCTCCAATAACGGCGTACCAACTGGCAATGTGCTGCGTAGGGTTCCTGTTGAACATAAATATCAGTCCTCCTGAATTGGAGCCTGCCTTAGGCCTAGAAATCATCAATATTTGAAACTCTAACTGCGAAACGGAGCCGAGGATCGTTAACCCTTTGTCTGTTGGTACATACTTCAAAAATAAAGTTCATGGCGAAAATTCTTCAAAACGTGTATTAAAACAAATTATGGCCCTTATAACCGATGCCACTTCACGGTGAAGTGACAATTTAACACTCATGGTGAAGTGACTCCCATTTGATTTACACTGCTATCACTTCACCGTGAGTGACAAGTGGTTACTTTGCTTCGTTTTCACCGTGAAATTACACTCGTAATAAGGCCCTAGGCTTCCTCTTCCCTGCGCTGCTTTTGCCCACACACTGACAATTCTTTCCAAACTGGAACAAATCTTGATTTATAGTGGAAAGAATTGCTCAATGCAAACTGGACCTTGTGCAATGTCTCGATTTTTGATTTAAAATCAAGTCCCTACAAGATCAAGACAATCCCGAAAAAAAAAATTAAAATACTTTTACGCTATGTTTGATGTTCAAAATTTATTACAAAAGATTTATTATTTTCTTTCTCTGCCAATATCTACGAGTGAGATCCTGTTAACTAGAAACCTAAACAACAAGTTTTACTAGTATAATAACTGTTTTATTAAGACCTTTCGTGGTTATGTGTTTAGTGTTATTGTTTTCTCTGCATGTGTGAAGAATATAGGTTAACTTTACTTTCGGAAATATATAATATGTACACGGCACATCTCTCTTTGTTCCTATCCTAATACCCTATCGTTTAGCATTTCTTTAAGTAACTGTGCATGCAATCATTAAATTTGTCTGTCTCTAATGTATATAGTTTCACTTTTATTACTTATTAATTGTTGGAATTCTGTTTCAGTAATTATTATAAAGTAACCTACATTCGTAACATTGCTTAACCCTACGTTGAAAAGTGCACTGTTCATGTTTAATTTCCGTTCAATGTCAGAAAATCCGATTATTTACAACTTAGCATCCCGCACTTACCTAGTCGCTATCTATGTGCACCTTGTGCAACATGTCTCACTTTTTGCCAATCAACTCTCTCGTTGTCACTCCACACTGCCCATAAAGGCATAACTGTTCCACCTCTGCTTGAGGTCCTATTCATATGGGACAGCTATGCTTTTATGGGCACCACATTCCACAAGCAAATACATTATAATCTCATATTATCAATCCACTAAAGTTTGTTCCGCTTTTCTTTTCCTAAAAAAAACCTATCCATAAAACCCACCCTCCTAGTTATCACTGCTGTCATTCTCATCCTCGTCGTCGTCGTCATTGTTGAACTTGAACCCAGCGCCGCTAACCGATGACACCTTGAGCATCGGTTGATTTGCAATCACAGCCGAATCGTCCGTCGAGATGACCTCCGAATATGTCACCGGGTAGTTCCATGGCTGGATTTCGGCCGTGCCGAAAAATTGAAACACCAAGTAGCAACTGATGGCCACCACCGAGCTGACGCCGAACACGTGCAACCATTGGTTGAGATTTTGCTGCAAACGGAAAAGCGAAACAGAGTTTTATCGCACACAATCACGCAAACGTTTCGGTTCAGTGTTGACCCTATAATCCCATACCCAGAAGAACACTACAAATGTTGCAACCGTTGCAACATGCTTCGACTAGTGTCGATAAAACAGAACTTATGGTAGAAGTAATAGGGGATCATAAATTTGAAAATGCTGAGAACTTACCGCATCGGTCACCATGACCCCGGTCACGAGGGGCTGCAGGAACGATGCCGTCATGTGAATGGTCTGCGCGAACGCCAACACTGGTCCAGCCAGATTCGGTGCAATGTCCACGATATTGGCCATAGCACCGGCGTACGAGGCCGTGATGAACGTAACCGCTACGAACCACAATACCAGCACGATCACGATGTTGTACCCCAGGTAGCCAACCAGCAGCACCAACACCCCGGGAACGATCTGCGACAGGGCGGTAAACAATTTCCTCACGTTCGTCAGTGTCATCAGCTGTTTGTGCACCAGGATGTCCGCAATGTAGCAGAACAGTACCGACGATAGGTACGAACACAGGAATGGTGTTCCGCTGAGCAGTCCGTTCTGCTGGATGTCGAAACAGAGGATCTTTTGCATGTACTCGGGGCCGGACATGATGAAGGTATAGTGAACCCAGATCCGTCCGAAGGTTGTCAGTCCGATAGCGTACACTGGCATCGAGGTGAAGATCTTCCGCCAGGGGACCTCCATGCCCTGGCCGTTCTTGATGTCTTCGCTCACATTCAGCTCAATGTATTCCAGCTCTTCGGCTGTTATCCGAGGATGTTCCTGTGGGGTATTGAACGCCAGCAGGTACCAAAACAGACACCAAATCATTCCGATCGTTCCGGTGGTGTAGAAAACCAATCTCCAACCAAAGTGCGCAATAATGAACCCACACAACGGGTACGTTAACCCTATGCCAATGCTAAATCCTTGAAAGCTGGACATGAATCGACTCCGCTCGACCGGTGGTATCCAGTATCCCACGATGGCATACATGGCGGGCCACGTGAGTCCACTGGCGAATCCTTGAATCGAACGTAGCAAAATTACCACTCCATAGTGGATATCCGCAGCGTACGGAATGCACAAGCTGCAAGCTGCCGTGAAGAACTGACTCCATCCGAATACGCTCTTCGTGCCAAAGTACTGCGTTGCCACTCCGCCGGCCACCTGCGACAGCACGTAGCACCAATAGAACGAGCCCTTGATACTGGCTTGGACGGTCGAGTCCCAGTCGAAGTTTCCGTAAAGATTCTCGTTCGACTCGGACGAGTCGACATTTTCCAGCAGATCGATATTGCTGCTGCCGTTGGCGGTGAAATTGCTATATAAATCGGAGTAATTGCCACCACCGACACCATTGGCCACCGGGACTGACCCCGCCAGGGCCAGCGACGACGGAGCACAGTGGCTGTTGACGGATGAGTTGGAGCTGCTGTCGCGGACCATTGCCACCAGGGCGAAGTTGATGTCGTTGCGCATCATGAACGACACCAGAAAGCCGGACCACGACAGGAAGTAGAGAACCAGCCGCGCCGGGATGCGATCTGGAAATAAGGAGATTCGGAATAATTATATGTACCTGTAGTTCGGATGAGGACAAGGAGTAATTTTTTTTTGAATTGATACGTGATGATTTTAAAGATCCCATAATCTGACGAGACGGAGAAGATCATTTTTGGATTTTCGGACCCGTTTAGGTTTAATTTTTTTTTTAGAATTTGATCATGCATGACCGCACGGCAAATGAGATCGACCCACATTTATGTTAAATTTTCTCATAAATCGCAAAAAGTGCAGGAACTCAGTTCTGAGTATACTGTGCAATGAGCGGTAAACAGGTGAGTCCCAAACTCCATCATCCATTTAAACAGCGTAGAATTCTCTGCATTTTTTGCAAAGAGACATCAGAAAAGGTTCAAGTTGGAAATGTGAAACCTATTTTCATTATTTAATATTAATGTGATTTACATGATTTATTTTTGTCTCCCTTGCTCTTGGAAATTATTTTTATTGATCTTGAGATTAACATATGAATAAAAAATACACCCTGCAAAAGGAACCTCCAATCCATTACTGACAAACAGATAAATATGCACCGGCAAAATTAAACTGCTTCGATTTCCTTTTTTGATTAGGGTATGTGAGCCATAAGAATCAAAATATCCTTCCCATGTAGACCGTTGTTACTTAGCCATGATGGCTGGGATAGTCATTTTTTGAGTATTTTTTTTTTAATGTCGCTGAATCAAGCTAAGAGTGTATAGAATCAGAGTATAGACCTTTTTGACGTTTAATCGTCTTTCTCTATCTAGCACACATGAATGAATGGACGGTTGGTTTTCCCACTAATCTGTTTCCCTCTTGCTCGCACTCGTTCGATTTAAATGGTGCAATAGTGTGCGCCGATTAAACGTCAAAAAGCTCTATAGGCATTGGCTGTCAGAATAAGTTCATTTGTTTACATCATGGCACGCTTCGATCCTGGCACGCTCGAAACGAAAATTCCGGTCTATCGGCTCCTGGCAGTTTTCGATCAAATTCCTAGGCAGGAATTTTATACCTCGGTTGACCGGAAAATCAACAAGAAGTCGAAATCCTTCAAAAAGTTCCTTGCCTGGCAAGCAATCTGCAGTTGTGGGCTGAAACTTCTGGGACCATGAACTAGCAAATTTAACAGGATGAGTGCCTACGGAAAAGATTCCGCTTTTTCTGAGGCAGCATGAGATGGATTGCCTATTCTTGCCGGATTGGCAAGCTGCCACTACTCAAATTCCACAAAACAGTGGTACAGCTAAAATGGCGTCACAGTGGTTCCCAAGGAGATGAATCCAGTCAATACTCCGGAACTAATGCCAATTAATCATATCGTCCGGCCATTTTCCACAGAGATGGCACTGTTCCACGGGTAGTAAGTGAGAAAAATCCTCATATTGAAATTGAGAGAAGTGGATATAACTCTCTTTCGGTGCATATTCAGGTAAAAAAAAAGTGGACGACAACCTAAAGAAATTAGTCATGGATTTTGTCGTTCAATTTTATCCCGGAAATCATTGTTAAACAAGCTACAATTAAATAAAACTGATTTTTCCCCATACAGTTTTACCTGGTTTACTACCAGTCCCCAGAGAGCCAAAAAATTCAAATTTTAGAGAGAAAATTTGCTCTCACTAGTTCAATTTCTCAACATTTCATGTATTTTAATGTCACTCTATTTGTGATTTCCCTCTCACAGACTACAAAATAGAGTACCTGACACTGCCAAACATGTTTGGTACATCTATATATATATATACTAGCTGAGTGTGCCCGGTCTTGCTCGGGATTCAATATTAGCTTGAGTTTATGCGCCGATTAAAAAAAAAAGCATGCTATATTGTACGTAGCCCCCCCTCCCTATTATCTAAGGGGCTACCCCCTATGATTATCTCCTTATACCCCCACACTCGCCCCCACATGCCTAATTTGGTTCCATTTGCTTGATTAGTTCTCGAGTTATGCAGAAATTTCTGTTTCATTTGTATGGGAGCCCCCCTTACAGAAGGGGGAGGGGTCTCGAACCATCATAAGAACCTTCCACGGCCCCAAAAACCCCTGTATACAAATTTTCACACCAATCGGTTCAGTAGTTTCTGTCTGTCTGTCTGTCTGTCTGTCTGTCTGTCTGTCTGTCTGTCTGTCTGTCTGTCTGTCTGTCTGTCTGTCTGACAGACAGACAGACAGACAGAAATTAATTTATATATATATATAGATAGAATAGATAGATAGATATATGCATTTTGATTAACATCCGAAGTCCCTCCGTTTTTACATATTCTGCACAAAAGATACTTTCTGCCCCACCCCGTTCATAGAAATCCACAGGAGATTGTGTGAAGGGTGAACTATTTTGTGTGCAGAATGTGTACAAAAGGAGGAACTTCGGATGTTAATCTAAATACATATATAGAGGTACCAGACATGTTTTGCAACTGCACTGTGAACAATTAACGGAAAACAGATTATGTGTAGTTTCCGATAGATGTCACCGCCAACAACAGCAGTTACATCTGACGGAAAATGAATGCAGAAGCTTGTCAAAATGATTCATTGAGGAATACTGGTCAATTGTGAAGCACATACTGAAGAAAAAGGGTGGAACTGCAATTGACCTGAAGAATTTCAAGCGGAGTTGGAATGGTCAACTAAGTTGTCAGTTAATCAATTATTTATCTATTGATTACGCCAAATTCCACCACTAGGTATCGCTAGTTATGATAGACAAGCAAACTACGCAGCATTAAATGCTTTTATCACAGACAATCAAACATAGATATATAAATAAATTTTCCCTAACAATATCGCCACGCAGCTCACTAACGATAAAAGCTTGCTTGCCAAGTCTCAAACAATGCTGTATAAAAATTCGATAGAATGTATAGAAACATCAAAGTGATTCAATGCCAGCGCTGTGGTGGGAGATTCGCGAAACTAATAATATTTACATTGAACGTTAAATGTATGTAAAGGGTGTCCACAGTTAAATTGCATCACTTTCAAAAAGCTGTAACATTTTGCCCTTTGGGTCAATTTTAATTAAATTTTGGATGAAATAGCCTCATTGTGTAAGGCTATCCACGAGACAATTGCGATCAGCTGACTTTTTTGTTTACCAAGAACTTTTGACCGATCACAGTAGAACCAACCGGTGGAAACTAACGATTTTAAATTGGCTCACTATTTGACTAGCCTATTGGTCCCAAGTACATCTATAAGCGTACTCCATTCTAGTCAAATGTGATGGATGGCGGCGTCCGGTTACAGAAACAGCGGGAAATACTGTTAAATACCTTTCAATATGGGTACTTTTGAAATCAAGTTGACTTCAAGAGGCCGAAAATCGATGGCCAGCGCCATTTTGAAATCAAAAATGGCGGCTTAAAATTTCAGAAAAAGTGGGTAAAACCATAGAGGTAACTCTAAGACTAGAAGGTCCCGAAATAACGTGGTCAACTTTTTGGCTCAGCTCTGGTACTATCTTCGGTCCCAAGCTAATCGATTCACCCCTCGAAACATAGGAAAATCCACTAACCCCTCATTTTATCTGTCAAATTTTCATAGCGAATCAAAACAAACATTGTGTAGTACTAGAATTTCGGCTAAATTTATTATTAATTACGGTAATCGATTTGCTTGGGACCAATAGGCTAGTCAAATAGTGAGCCAATTTAAAATCGTTAGTTTCGTATTGTCTTCTTCTTCTTCTTCTTCTTCGCATTTCAAGCTTATTGCATATCGCATATTAGCTTATTGCGTGCTCTCAACTTAGTGTTCTAGATGCACTTCCACAGTTATTAATTGAGAGCTTTCGATGCCTGTACCATTTTTGCATTAGTATAATTATGTGGCAAGTCCAATCATACTTCTATGCCCAGGGAAGTCGAGAAACTTTCCAACCCGAAAAATTCCTAGACCGGACCGGGAATTCCCAGCCACCTCCAGCATGGCCTTGCTTTGTAGCTGCGCCTTTACCGACTGAGCTTCGTATTGATTGTTGGTAAAACTGTCAAATACCCTTCGATATGGGTATTTCCGGAATCAGAATGACGTCTAAAACCCGTAAATCGATGTCCGACGCCATTTTGAAATCCAAGATGGCGGCTTTCGGTTTCAGAAAAGTGGGAAATACTGCCAAATACCCTTCAATAAGTATATTTTCAGAATCGGGATGACGTCTAGAAACCGAAAATCGATATCCAGCGCCATATTGAAATCCAAGATGGCGGCTGCATATTTCAGAAAAAGGGGGAAATACTGCCAAATACCCTGCAATGGAGATATTTTCGGAATCTGGATGACGTCTAGAGACGGAAAATCGATGTCCAGCACCATCTTGAAATCCAAGATGGCAGCTTCCGGTATCAGAAAAAGTTTGAATAACTACCAAATACCCTTCAATATAGATACTTTCAGAATCAGAATGACGTCTAGAGAATGTATTGGGAAAACCTTCTAACTCCTGAGATCCTCTTGGATCTTGTGGGAAGTTCTCAGAATTTCTGGGAAGCTCTTGCAATATTTGGGAAGATCTAGGAAAAAGTGGAAAGTTTTTGGGATATTTAGGAAAGTTCTCTAAATTTCCTAGCATCTTACATTCTGGCTATTTCCCGAAATTTCTGGTAAGTTCTGGCATCTTCTGGGAAGATTTCGAAAATTCTGAGACATTCTAATAATCATTAAATTATTATAAAGTTTTTCGAACTTCTGAGAAGTTCTTGTGATTTCTAGAAAAAATCTCAGAATTTATGGAAAGTTCTCTGAATTTCTGAGAAAATCTTGGAAAATTCATTTAGAAGTAAGACACAAGATCTACTCTTGATTGGCGAAAAAAAAATCTACGAAATTCACCGATCTTCCGGAAAGTTCTCGGAAATTTTGGAAAGTTCTCGGAATTTCTGGGAAACTCAATGATCACTCAGAAGATCCTTGAATTTCCCGGAAATTGTCTCTTGAAAGGGACATCTAGGTAGCTCACCGAAATTGTGAGTAGTTCTTGGATGTTCGTCAAAGTGCACGTAAGAATCTGTCGGAAATTCTTGGAAGTTGTGGGAAATTCTGGGCAGTTCTCGGAACTTTTAGGAAGTTTTTCTGGAAACTTCTCGGTACTGATGGGAAGTTTTAAAGAAATTTGGGAAATTCTCGCATCTTCTGAGGAAGTTCTCGGAATTTCTGCGAAGTTCTTTTATCTTCTGGTTTATGGAACTTTTGGAAAGCTCTCAGAATATTTGGTAAGTTTTCGGAATTTGTTGTGAATGCAAGGATTTTTTTAAGATCCCAGATCTTCTGAGGATTTCTCGGAACTTATGGGAAGTTCTCAAAAAGTCGGGAAAGCTCTCAGAATTTCTGTCAAGTGCTTGGATCTTCTAGGAAGTATTCAGAATTTCTTAGAAGTTCTGAGGTCTTCTGGGAATTTTTTTGGAAAGTTCTAGGAATTTATCGGATCTGCTAGAAAGTTCGAGGGCCTTCTGAGGAACTCTCGGAATTTCTGGGACGTTCCGAGATCTAGTAGTACTGGGAGAGGAACACAGAACTTCTGGGAAGTTGTTGGATCTTATGTGAAGTACTCGAAATTTATGGGAAGAGAACTTCTGGACCCCGTTAATCTGAACGATCCTTCATCGAGGCTCATTTTTAATTTGAACTTCTATATAGTAACCCTATGACCATCAGAAAAGCAATTTTCCGGTAGCCTTGCTGTATTGTTTTGATTCTGCATTCCGTTTCGCATCAGTCCATTTCGCTTTTCTCCATTCTATGTGCTAAATGACGTTTGAGCAATTTTTATCGGGATTCAAACAAAAAAGTGTTCCGATTAAACGGTCAGATTAGCGAAACTTCTGGAAAGTTCTGGAATAGTTTTGGAATTTTTGAGAAATTCTCGCTTTTTCTAAGAAGTTCTCGGATTTTGTGGAAGCTCTCGGTAATTCTGGTAAGCTTTCGGAAGTTCTGGTAATATTTAGGAATTTTCGGAATTTCTAGGAAGTTCGTGGAATTTGTGGGATGCCCTGAGATTTTCAGGAAAGTTTGTCGAAAATTTTGAAAAGTTCTCGGAATTTCCGGGAAATTCTGGAATTTCTAGAATGTTCTGCGAAGCCCGAGGACCACTGGAACAGTCCGAGAATTCTTTAACTATACCTAGATTTTCAGGGAAAGTTTCGAGAACGATTTTTTGTATATTCATTTTCGTATCCATTTTTGCATTTACATAAGATAACAAATATAAAATGATGAAAATATCGATAAATAATGAGAAACATTTTTGTTGTTTTCCAAAAAACTCAAAAAACAGTAGGCTGCGGAATTTTGACGTCTTCAGAAAAGTTGTTAATTTTTATGTTATAAACAACTTTGCCAAAAATGTAAAGTCTCTTGAATGTAAGAGTTAAACGTGGTTAAACGTTACACTTTGGCGCCATCAGTTTTGAACTCTTTGTTTATAGCAAAAGATGGTCCTAAAACTCCTAATTATAACAAGCAACTTAGCTGAGACACCAAGCCCCGGAAATGTTTCGTTTCGGAGTTATAAATTTTGTCCCGCTCGATTGCATTTCTGACCCACTGTGCAATCACAGACAAACGAAACGTAACTCTTTGAATAAGTTTTTTTTCTTGAAATCATTGTAAATCCGGACCTCCGATGCCTGCGCTGCGATGAGTACTGTCAACATTCGCTCGTTGGGTTAAACCCAAAGCCCATTTATTGAAAGGCTTTCGTTAGTTGGGCTGATCTGTCAAGCTGAAAATTGGTTGAGAAATACTCCGATTGATTATTATCATCACAATCTTTGAGCAACTATCCAAATTGTTCATCCATGAGCCCCTTGAAAAGGGATCAGCACTGTCAGAAATGGCGTTTGACTTTGATTTAAGTCCCAACTAACGGGAGCCCAACTAAAACGTAGCCCACTTAAAGATAACCCAACGAGCGAGCGTTAAATGAAGTGTTACGTCTATTTGTCTGTGGTGCAATGGAAAAGAAAGAAGAAATATTTATCACACAGCATTACCTGATACGGCCCGTCTCCATCCTACTTTGGGAATCTTGGGCCGCGGTTTAGTGGTGGGCAGAAACTTGATCCCTTTCTCGTCCATTGTTTTGTTTTGCTGATGCCTTCCTGGTAGTAAACTGCTTGTTTAAAATCTTAGCTCGGTACCGATTGTGTACAACTTGTGCAGCTAGCTACGAACGTATTCAAAACGTCAGTTAAGACTGTAACTGTCCGGGGCAGATGCCTTCGGGTCGCCCAAGCAACAGAAGGGCGTTTATCGGCGATGGCTTTCTTGTCACTTCGCTCGTCATCTGGGTATCTGGAGTGCGTTTGCGTTTGCGGCTCAAGCACGTGCCGATGCAGTTGGATAGCTCGGCCTTTGCTTGTCTATGGTACTGTAGAAGTGCAGCATTGTATGGCAGGAATGGTTTCTGCAATGGAATATAAATGAGAAAATTTTTATAACATTATTTCGATTTTCATTGAATCTAGTCAGAAATCTATGGTGAGAGAATAATAGCAAGAAGCAGCAGCGTAGCAACTAAATTGGAGGCCAACAAACTTGAATCTAGTTACTTTTTTTCCCAACGATTTCACACCGAAGTGCGAAGAAGTATGGTAAACTGAAAGGCGCTCGCCGTTTCCGGTTGCCAAATTCCAGATGAGTGGCAGCCAGCCAGTCCATTTGTCGTCATGTAGCTGTTAATTCTAGGTAACGCTTTGTTTGCGAAAACAGTTCAGTGCTAACATTTGAAAACGGCACAAAAGCCATTTGTAAACAAATGGTTTGTGGGCCCTTTACTCACTACTTGAAGTACACCCACGCGACACAACAGCAACATCGGGTAGGGGAAATTTTCCCCTTCCTGACGATGCTGTTGGTTTGCGTGGGCGTTCTTCGGGTAGCGAGTAAAGGGCCCACAAACCATTTGTTTACAAATGGCTTTTGCGCCGTTTTCAAATGTTAGCACTGAGTTGATTCATATGGGTGACGATTTCAAAAAGAGTGACGACTGATCGAATTTGGATTTGTATCGTGGCAATCATTTAAATTGCCCCGAATCAACGTGATGGTTCACGTTCGTTATACCACAGACAAACAGACGTAGATCTTCAAATATTTTTTTCTTAAAAATATCGTCGCGGAACGCACTATTAACGACGACATCGCAATGCTTGCCAATGTCGCAAACAATGTTGCATACAAGGTCGATAGAATATATAGAAACGTCAAAGTGATCCGATGTCAGCGCTGTGGTGGGATTTTCGCGAAACTAATAATATTTCAATTTAATGTTATATGCGTGAGCGACAATTGAGGACAAAGAGTCACGTTTGTTTGTCTGTGGTTATACATTACATATATGTTAGCTCAATTAACCCGCTGAACATTGATGCGTATACAAATATTTATTTAATTCAAAGTCGACGACAGTCTGCTGCGCAATCAAATGAAACCGTCTAATTAAATCGTAATTGATAGGCGGGTCTTTGTTGCAGCATGCTGCTAAATGTGCTCCAGCTGTAGAAAGTGTGTAGTCGGTCGTCTGCCGTAGTCTGGGGGCTAAACCCGTATTTGTTGCACGCTTCGTAAAAAGGGTAGATAGGGGAAATTTCTCTAATGTTGGCCTATGGATCTAATATTGGGCCCATCGATAAAAATCTGCTATTTATCAATTTTATCTAGATGAACGCGTTATTGGGACGTTACTGATGGATATTTTTGGTTGCTATTGAAAATTTAGTCGATTGCTGAATTTATGTATGGGCCCAAATTAGGGACACTTTCCCCTATATCAAATTTTCCGAAACATCTCTCAAGTTCTGGATAAAACATTCCTGGAGTTCTTAGAAGAACTTTTCTGAAGTTTTGGGGACAACTTCCTAGATATTCTGGGAAGAACATTCCTAAATTTTCTTAGAAGAATTTCCCTTGAGTTCTGGGAAAAATCTTTTCTAAAATTCTGAGAAGAACTTCCTTTCAGTTCTTGGATAAAGTTGCCGGAAGTTGCGGAGAGAACCTTTCTATAGTTCTGGGAAGAATTGTCTCGAAGTTTATGTTCAGGTCATCCTGTTGATAAGGTGTTATTCTGAAGAGCTTCAACTTCCAGGAATTCAAACCCATGATTCCAGTATGACAAAAAATATTTAAAAACCTACAGATAATCAGAGAGTTCTCTGAAATCCTCAGGATATTTTTTCAAGCTTTCAAAATCATCTGGTCTTATTCTAGAGATCTTCATCTGTTCAAAAAATTATATCTGATTTTCACCCATGGTACTAGGATGATCAGAAATTATTTCACAAACCAACAGATGATCATGGGCCTCCCAGAAGTCCTAAGGATATTTTTTTCAAGTCCTCAGGTTGATCCGGTATTATTTTGAAATTTTTTTTTAAGTTCGCATACTTCCCTGTTACTTGCAGAGAGTTTTTTAAGTTCGTAGAATGTTCCTGGTGGAAGCAGACTTTACTGAAGTTCTCCGATTTTCCATGAAGTTCGACCCATCTTTACTGAAGTTCGCAAAACTTTCCAGGAATTCTTGACTTATGAAGTTGAAGTTCTTAGGTCTACTTGAAGTTCACAGACTTCCCTGAAATTGCCAGATTTTTCCTGAAATTTGCAGAATTTTCAACTTTTTAAAAATTTCCTAAAATTCACAGGTAGCGGTGAGCGTGATTGCCTCTCACCCCAGCAGGCCTGGATTCAGTCCCAGTCGGCGCCGCCGGGATGTTCTGAGGCATAACATCTTTGATCACGCCTTCCTTCGAAAGGGAAGTAAATCCATTGGTCCCCGGTTCATGAGTTGATGGGTCGAAAGATAAGGTCCAGGTGTGGGAGCTGCCTCCCTGGCGTCGGTAGCATTGGTGCTCAGCACGGAAAACAAACCAAAGGAAAAAAAAAATCACAGGAGTACTTGAAATATTTCAAAACTTTCCTGAAGTCCGTTGAAATTTTCCAAAGTTCGCAGAATTTTCCTGAACCTCATCGACTTCACTGAAATTGGCAGAATGCCATTCTAATTCACAGAATTTCCCAGAAATTCACGGGCTTCGCATAGATTCACAAATTTCCGTGAAACTCACATACTTTCCTTAATGTAGTACAATTTTCTGAAGGTTTATAAAGTTTACAGACTTCCCTGATATTCCCAGACTTTACTGAAGTTACCAGATTATTTTCAGAAATTTGCCGAACTTTCCAAAAATATGCTGAACTTTCCTGAAGCTCACAGAAGTTTATTCGAGTTAATAAAGGTTTTCTGAATTTTTCAAAACTTTCCGGTAGTTTATTACAATATTCAGAAGTTTTCGGAATATTCCTGAAAATCCCTGAAGTTCGCTAAACTTTCCTGAAATAACCAGAATTGTTCTGAAATTTGTAGAATTTTCTTGAAACTCACTGAACTTTCATGCAGACCGCTGAATTTTTCTAAATTTCACAAGATTTTCTCGAAGGCTAAGCATTTTCCAACAGTGCCCATGTGTGGCCTTGACCTTTTTTGAAGTGCGCAAAATATTCCTGAAGATTGCAATATTTTATTATAGCGTTTAGGACAATATTGTAGTTGTGCACTGAGGAAACTCGCAACTTTTTTTTATAAGGAATAGTGTTTTATTTTTATTTCTATTGTGTTTATTATGGAAGGCTCATTGTTTCTAGGAGCTAAACGGAGCCGAAGGACTGATTTTTGTTGTGTAGATTTAGGGGGATTGAGTTCTTAATTTTTCTTCTTTTGCTTCGTTTCGTACTCGTAAAGATCATCCCAAGGCTTCTACCGTTGCTGGCACCAGGTCAGTTGAGGTTCGGTTTCGTTTTCCGTTACCGGGGTTGCCACGTAAATTTTCATCCCCTCTTCATGCAGCACCTCTATTCCATTCTTTGATTCCAAGGTACTGCTGTTGTTTACGGGCCTTCCGCTTGGGGCAGGAATTCATCCGGTCCCCTTTTCGCCTTACATAGGAAGCATTTATTCTTATTCCCCGAATAGAATATATTCCCCTTCCAATTGAGAAAATTAAGCGAGGAGGGAATTTCCATTTTCACGTCCATGTAAACACCTCGCACTCCTGTGAACACGTCGTGGCCTAATGCAACAGGAAATATTTCCCGAATGACACGCTTCACTTTTCCGTATTTTGCTAGCACCAACGTTAGATCACCATGTGGTACTTCTGGTGGAACGTACGACATTCGTATCTCCACTGCCTTTCCATTAGCAAATTGGAAAGTTATTTGCTGCGGGTTATGCACCAGTACATAATGCTTTAGTTTTCTACTTTATGAAGATCGGCTTCTCTTCAGCAATTCGATATGTGGCGTATATATGTCACCATGATTCGCGTGCAATGATTTAACGAAGTTTGCAATCTCGCCCATGTGTGGCCTTGAACTCCCATCTGAATAGGAAAAACACAAAGTTTGCTGTATTTCGACCATTATTGCCAAAAATGTTGCTCCAACAGCGACGACGAAGAGCACTGATCGAGCTGCGGACTATTAACAAAGCGCACGAAAACAATATCGTGACCGAGTAAACAACCGTCGATAGCGTGGTGGACAACGAGAGAAACAAGTGTTGCTCTGTTCACAGCCGAAAGCAAACTGAAGAAATTGTTGGCAGAAAATTTTAGAGTTTGCAGTCTTCCTTGAACATTTCAGAAGTTCATAGACTTTAAAGATAAAAGTTTATTAAATTCGCGGAATTTTCCTAAAGTTCACAAAAGTTCCCTAAAGTTTACTAAACCTTCGTGTTCACAGTTTTCTACGAAATTAATATTTTCCTGGCATAAGCAGAATTTCACTGAAGTAACCAGTATTTTTCCTAAAGTACGCTAACTTCACAGAATATTTTTGAAGTTCCCAGACTTCCCTGAATTCAGTAGAATATTCAGAAGTTCATAGACTTCCGTAAAGTTTGCAAACTTCTTTGAAGTTCACAGACTTCCCTGATATTCCAAGATTCCTTAAATTTGTAGAATTTTCCTGAAGCTTTCAGTACTTCCAAAATCTTGCTAAATTTCCCTCCGATTTGTTTACAAATGCTGTTAGGCCCTTTTCTATTATTTCTCCAGGACTTTGTAAACAAACATGCTGCTGATAATGATTAAGGGGGGGAGGTGAATGTCAATTACGAACACAATCGTCCCCTACCTCGAATAACTGGTTCTTCTTCTTCTTTCCTTTGTTTAACGTCGGTATCTGTTCCGCAATCTAGTAGTGCCAATCACCGACGGACATCGATTGCCATCCATTGATGCACACACTTAGATTTTTTGCCGAGATGGGCACCACCGAGTAGCTCGGCACTTCATTTTGCTGGATCGCAGTGAAAAACTTGCCGAGACTCAGCAAAATTTATGTTTGTTAGCTGAGATCTCGGCAAAATTCCCGTTTGTTAGCTGAAGCTCGGCAAGTTTTTCACTGAGA